CGTCACTTGCAGATTTCCCCTCCCGGCCAGAGTCCCCCTCGCGTTCACCTCTAAGGAACTTCCGTTCTTTCTCCCGTTCTCAAGCAGATCGGCCGGGAACCAGTACATCTGGTCAAACGAGCACTTCTCGATCTCGTGCTCCTTCAACTGTTAGCACTTCGCTTCAATCTGACCATCCTGGCTTGGGCTGGCAGTCGACCGCCGGCACAAACTCTTCGCGAGCATCATTCAACTCTAGATCAGGTAGACCAATGGCGGGGCTGATGGACGTTGACCGTAGCCGTACCCGGAGGGATAGAACGTTTGTCGGTAGTGAATGCGCCGTATGCGAGGAGCCACTAGAGCATACCCTGCGCGGAGAGCGGGTCCTCCAGTTCTCTTGCACACACGTGGCGCACGAAGCCTGTTTCTACGAGTATATCAAGGAGTTTGAGGGCCAATATTGTCCGACCTGTGATGCCCCACTGGGGCTTGACACCAGCCGCGGCGGTCATGTACTTGACATCGGTAAGCGAAAGATGCACTTCGGACAGCATAGTGATTGCAATTGCTGAGTTACTGACCATCCTCATTGTAGAAAAATTGAGCAATATTGTGCGTTCGGTGACTAGCGATGCAGCCACGCACCGCAGTGGTTTGACCACCCCAACCCCGTGGGATCAGCCGTCAGCTCGTGGGCGAGCGCCCAGCGAGACGGGGAGCAGGACATATAACAATCGCGACAGTCGGGACAACTGGGCGAGAAGGGATAGCCGCGATACGGGCAATACGGGCAGCCATCGCGATCGCGAGCGAGTGGAGCGGATGACCACAGGCTCACGGCAACAGCATTCCAGAAATGGAAGTGCTGCAGGATCGTCAGGCGACTACGATGCTCAGCAGCAGAGCAACGGCAGGCGACATGATTATGATGTTCAAGCCATGGAATCCGATCTTAGCCCTCGCGCGGCTCCCATGAAGAACCCCATCCCCGCCCCTACAGTGACTATCCGCAGCGAATTCCCGACGCTCAACCGGTCTAGACAACAGCAATCTTTGACATGCTTGGTCACGGTGGAAGTTCCCGAGGGAGTATGGCATCCGGATTCGGACGACTTGCGACAAACTTCGTCGGGTGCGTCGCAGCCGCAGGATGAGCCTTACGGCGGCGTGGTTCGCTTTCCGACTGCGGATGCTCGATCCATCCAATACGAACCCCAGGAGAACCTCGACGAGATCGCCGAGGACTTGCGGACGCGGGTCGACAACTGGCACGGCCTTGAATTTTCACGGTACATTTTCACCCAGACGAGGTTTTTCATTGACGAGTACTGATTGGCCTTTAGATTCGGAAAACTCCGCTTGCATGGACACATGCGCGTGGGCAAGGATCGCGAATCATGGCAGGATCTGGAGTGCTATCTTTTCGCTGAGATGCTTATTTGTATCAAAGAAAAGAAGACAAATGCTCATCAGTATGATGACCAGTCGAAGCGCAAGACTCGGAGCTCGTTGAAAGGCTCGATTCTCATCAAGAAGCATCTCAAGTCTATTGAAGCGTCGCCTGGTAAGCTGACATCGATTTTGAGAAAGGGTACCGGATGCTGACCACCATAGATGAACCTGTCCTCACGCTTAATCTGTCAGTCAGCGAGCTTCCTTGCTTCTACCTTCGCTTCCAGAGCCGAAACGAACTGGAGATCTGGCGTCGAGCTCTTCGCGATCTTCATAACTCTGATGCATTGTCCCGACACACCGACTATGACCTGGATCATTCTGGAGCTGAGGAGGAGGACTACCGGGCCAACCAGGTCAAACGACAGGCATCAATAAACTCATCCTATGGTGCCGGCCGGTCCAACAATACAGCCATCACGGATTACACTACCGGTGCAGATAATCTGCCCACGTTGAGTGTCCACATACCTCTCGATATTGTGGTTGTTATTCCCGTTTCTTCGTCCATGCAGGGGCTGAAGATCACTCTCTTGCGGGACGCACTCAAGTTCCTTGTGCAAAATCTTGGACCCCGAGATCGTATGGGATTGGTAACTTTTGGCTCCAGCGGTGGCGGTGTACCCCTTGTTGGAATGACCACCAAGTCGTGGGGTGGATGGAACAAGATCCTCAGCTCCATTCGACCTGTCGGACAGAAGAGCCTTCGTGCGGATGTTGTCGAAGGTGCCAATGTTGCAATGGACTTGCTGATGCAGCGCAAGTCCAACAACCCCATATCCACGATCCTCCTGATCAGCGACTCCTCCACTTCCGACCCCGAAAGTGTCGATTTCGTGGTGTCTAGGGCCGAAGCTGCTAAGTGAGTTCCTCCATCACCAAAGATTAAGAACATAGATGACTGACCATTTGCAGAGTGAGTATTCACTCCTTCGGTCTTGGACTGACTCACAAGCCCGACACAATGATCGAGTTGTCCACTCGGACAAAAGGCTCGTACCTGTACGTCAAGGATTGGATGATGCTTCGAGAATGTGTTGCCGGCTGCTTGGGCGCACTGCAAACCACTTCGCACCAGAACGTCAAACTGAAGCTTCGTCTTCCTGAGGGTTCGCCTGCGAAATTTGTAAAAATTAGCGGGGCTCTCCATACAACCAAGCGCGCTACAGGCAGAGATGCCGAGGCGGCTCTCGGAGACCTTCGATTTGGGGACAAGCGTGATGTGCTGGTGCAGTTGGTCATCCAACCAGACAACTCCACGCAGGAAAGCATGCCGCAGGACCCCTGGGAAAGCCTGGTGTCTGGATTGGAAGCTCTCGGAGGTGGCTCCGATGCAGACGAGCAACGCGTGCTGAGCGTCGAGGAGGTACCTTTGATCCAGGCGGATCTCACTTACGGTGATCTCCTCCGTGATGGCCACCTGACGCACTCGCCTCGCCCGTCACTGCTTACCGTGCCCATGCTTCCATCCAATCCGAGAGCCAAGAATGGCCGACCTTCGACACCACCCATTCCTCCTCACCCGTCCATTGTCCAGCGGCGCATGGAGTTGCTCACGTCCGATATGCTGACCCGAGCCTTGACACTTGTGACTCGGGGTCAACATGATCGCGCACAGCATCTCTTGACCGAAACACGAAGCATTCTTAAGGGTCTCGGTAAGGGTAGCCTTCCGCCGCTACCGCCAAGCGCTGTAAAACCGGCTAGTCTCAGCGATGCTGGAAGTCGCGTTGAAACGCCCACATCGACCTCGCCGAGATCCTCCAACTTCACCGAGAGTCAGTCATCTGTCACATCAGATACTGCAACTATTGCCCCTGTTGCCGCGGTCGACGCACAGACCATTACAGCGCTGGATGCGGACTTGATATCGGCAATGGAGTGGATCAATCACCCTGCCGTATTTGGGCGAGACTCGCGCAAGGCGGTTCTGCAGGCGATTGGAGTCATCTCGTCGCAGCGCGCTTACACATATCGCACCCCATCCGAGGCTCACTGGGCACAGCGAGTCGCGGGAATCCGACGATTGACTGAGCGGTCAAAGGAGTGGCGCGAGACTGGAGACGATGCCTTGACAGAGGAGTAGTCAGTTATCTGGATGATTCTCTCCTCTTTGCTCTTGGTGGTCTTTATCTTGTCTTCTATTCTACCGTTTGATCATTCATTTACCCCTTTTTCAACCCCTTTTTACCTAATATTCGTTCTTCCCTCTGGTTACCCGGCTGAGTTGGCAGGCTTTTTTTTTTGTTATGATACCACTTTGTTTCGACTATGACTGCGCAGCATGATACCACGGATTTCCCCTGTTTATATCACCTTGACTCCTGGCTGGTTTTGTTTCTATGACGAATGTACATGTTGATATATAGCCTAATCATTCACCATTTTTTCTAATGTTTATTGGTTGGTCAGCGGCAAGGGTTGAACATGGGTGGCTTCATCGGTGTTTGGTCGATTACGATATGCTGTCTGAACGTGTTTTGCTTTCAGGATATCCGAGTCTCCAAAAGAGCTGTTGATGTTATGCCAACTGTACTCGATGGCCTGGTTTGATATGCTAAAGCTTGGTCTGCTTTGAAATGAATATACCACATTTACATGATTTTATTATCTTTTCCAGGTCCAGCGGAGAGGCGAACTAAGGCAGCCCATGGATACTGAACCTTGATCTTGCGGATTATGTGGAACTCCGGGAGTAAGACACTGCCAGGTCTTACCCCGAATTACCAAAAGGGCCCGTTAACCCCTGTTGGTTTTATGCCTAAAAGGAGTAGTCTTTTCGCCGAACCCACCCGTTGACAGCCCAAGCACATACATTCCTACAGCCATACATTTCTACGGCGATTCAGGACAAGGACACATGGACGAATGACATTGAGTCCCGAGCTGTTGGTCCGTTCTCATCAAGCATTGGCCAGATAAAGTGCGGCTGACAGCAGCCACGTGGAACGGGGGCTCAGATCCCTTTGATTGTTGGCATTCTCAGCGCTTAAGACGAAGAGTTCCGTCCCAACCTGGGATGTGTTGAACATGACATAGCCACTGGATGCTTTTTATTTCGGAGCAGTGTCCTGCGTATTGCGTACTGTATTACTGAGTTGGATTCCTTGTTTGCAAAGCATGTGAAGGATTGCGCTTTGGCCTTCGTCCATGAAGTCTTTTACTACCTGAGCATTTCGTAGCCGTAGAATTTCCATTTCATCCAATTCTCTTCGCAGAAAACAAATGCTACCATGCACCCTCTCTCCATGCAGTTACCGAAAGTCCCCCATGTAAAAAACCAACCAAAATAAGCTAAACCGACCGAAACTCCATGAAATGCAAGGTATTCGAAACCAACAGTGCAGGGGAGTGACCCGGCTGCGCAGAGCCAAGCTTGCAAGTCTTCTAAGCAGGAATCAAGACACAGAACGCACGACGCACGCCGTAGATCGAACCCTCAGGTTTGTGTACATGAGAAAAACAAGATCAATCGTCATGACATGAACGCTCTAGTTGAGCATTGCCAATGCACGCTACGCTGAATGATCACCAAGTCCAGATGAACGATTGCAGATGGAATTAGTCTATCCTCGACGATCAGAATTCCGTCTGCGTTTGCCTGGTGGTGCTGGATCCAGTTGAGGCGCGTGTTTGTACATAATTGTTGTCGTGACGATCTGTCGTACACAGACTTGGGGTCCAGCCTCGCTTATGGGGGACTCGAAGCGCCTGAGTTTCCATTCTTGAGGAGGAAAGGGTGAGCGGAGGAGATGCGCGGACCGAGGAGAGTCTGTTGTTGCTGTTGATGTTGTTGGGGAGTAGAGATATGGAGGGGGGAGTCGCAGCCGTTTAGCTGCTGGGGCTGGCACTGGAGCTTCCTTTGGAGACCAGGAGACTGCAGGTGACAGAGGAAAAGGTGGCTTTGAGGGTGAGTGTTTTGGTGTGCTCCCTTTCGAGAAAGAAGAGGAGGTTGTGCTGGATGGCGCCGAGGTGGGAGATCGGCGAGGCTTGTCGAGCATATACTTGGCAAAGCTCGCGCGAGAGGTAGTAGAGCTCGCGAAGATGGGGCTGAACGTCTCAAGAAACTCTGTGTATGCCGGTGGTGGAGTGATGGTAACCGTGTTTTCTTGATTCTCAGCTTCCATTTCCTTTGTCTTCGTATCGAGATATATGGTCGACGATGGCTCACGGAGCTCAGAAGGAAAAGTCATGTGCTTTGGAAGCTCTAGGGGCTGTAACACCGGCTTTGGAGCCATCTTAAACAAAACAGATGAATATATATAACTCAGTAGAGAAGAGTTATGACGTTGACACTTCCTGAGAGTGGATAAGAGGTATGTAGGAAGTATAAAAGTTTGATGATGCCCAAGAAGAGGAATGTACCTCCAGATGACCGATGCCAATTGTTGTTCGAAGGAGACAAAAAGGAGAGAGGAAGGAGAAGTGTCGACGAAGCGTGACCGGGGTGATAAAGCGTGTTGTATATAGGTTGTTGGTGGATATAGTTCGTAAAAAATTGTATGTAATGCTGTACCTGACAGTATTGATGCTTGATGTATTGATCTAGTCCCCAAAAGGTTAGCAATGTTACCAAGTCCAGGTGGTCCAAAATAGCAACACTGGGTTGATCCACATTCACAACTCACAATCTTGTCAGCTTGCACTGTTAAACAAAGACCAGACGAATCCCAGTCTATCTGATCCTTCTTTTCGACGCTCAAGCTCTTGCACAGCCCTCTATTCAGCCCTGATGTGATTGCGCTCAAAACGTGTCGTTAACAGACAAAGTCCTCACTTGTCTGATCGGAATTATTTTGACAGCCAATCAGTCCAGCTGTTGGCCACAGTAGATTTGAATGAATGTAATAGGGAAATGCAATGTATTAGTTTAAATCAAGAGCAAGCAAATACTCTTGGAAGGTAAGGAGATATTGTTACAGAGGATCGAGCGTCATCAATCAGCAGGGTCTTCTGTAACTATATACTATCTTACCCAGCCTTGACCTCCGCCTTCTGTGGTAAACATTCGCACCAAGTAGGCCTGACACTGTCGCGCGGCATCGAAACTGTGTCTCCGCTCGTTTGTTCAATTTGGCCCCTTATTGTCGCTTGATCTAATGAAAAACCTATGTTATCCTAATCTTGACCGCTCTGTGACATGGTTTGTTAAAGCGAGGCGCGCGGTTCCTACAATTAGTGCTCATCTCTTGCCATCATAACAAGAGCCAAAAGACGGGGTACAGAACTTCCATCTTCATCACCCTAAGCACTTAAAGCTACATTAGCTTAAGGGGAATGGATGAGGGTAATAAGCGGCATAAGGAAACGCTAATCTCAACCAACATCGCCCAATCATGGTGCATAGAATAAGTTTGCCCGAGGAAACTGTTTCAGGCTACCATCCTCATACCCCTTAATGAAGGCATTCACAGTCCTCATTGATTGCCAAATGCTGAGGCCTGAATGGGTACGCTCCATGGAGTAGCGCTGCAGGTTGTCATGGACCCTGGACGGTCCGGTTATCGAGTGAGAAAGGGTCATATTCTACCGCATTGCTTAAGCAGCGGTTACGTCTATGCAATGATGCCTATCCGGAGATTTGATGCCATTCTTGGATAGGGCCTTCCATATGCGTCATCCTTATCTTGTCATTGGGGGCCGTAGTCTCCGATCTGAATACGTTGAACCCTCGAGGATCTCATTCCTTCTGCTCACGCGGTCGAGGTGAGCGAAGGCCATTGTCTGGACTGGAAGGTTTAAAGAATAGCGTCCTGCATGGCATGCAACGCTTGATGATTCTAATTTTGGGTTCAACTACACTAAAGTTGCTAAGCGCCCGTTTCAGCATCACTTGCATGTTGTCAGTTACTATGATCAGAATGCGGGTATTTGTAAAGCCTCGAAGTATCATATAGCAGCAGTTCATGGTCGGTTCTGACCATGAAGTTCTCCCCCTCAGATATAGCTTCATTTCGATGGTGCTCATATAGCTCCAGTTAAGCCGTACCATGCGCAATGCTGTCCATGACCATTGAGTAAATCAATGGAAACCTCTGTGTGAATGGCAATTAAAGTGCAGCTGGTACACCCCAGTCCAGCATAACCCTAACAATGGATCTATTAAAAGCAATTCTTGGCAACCCAATTAGCATTGAGTACCGGTAGATCTTAAACGCTTTGCCATCCACCAACCAATCAACAATCGGCTACAGTCCGAACCACCCAATCCGAAACATGCCAGGTACTTTGCTCTAGGGCTTGTGAGTGGTGAACAGATCAAATGGTTAGCGCATGGGTGTCTGCTCTGTAACGCGCCAACTCCCGCCACACAGGATCGCCGTGTGGACAGGGATTCGATTGTCCATTATTGGCAAGCCTTCGACTCGTCATGCCTAGATGCACTGATGCAGGGCTATTTTTGGAATATTCAACTTGACTCCACCTTACCTCGTTGGCAAGTGGACTGCATTGCTGCTACTAAGTAGGGTATGGCGGAAGCGAACTTCTGAATAGATGCGCTTGATGGCGAGCAAGTTAATACTGTCGCTTCAAGAAAAGCGCCAAGAGGCTGATATGTGTGGATCGGGACTGTGAAGGGCGCTCGCCACTTACTTTCTGGGTACGAGGTCGAGGTGTACAACTACTACGATGGTCATGATTGTGATTGTGCCAAAAATATTAGCTCAGTGCTAAATCCATTATCATCACTATCATAGCGCGCAAAGCCTGGAATAAAGCGAGTAGATTGCTAAAAATACTGCATAGGAAACACCAGCAACCAAGCCAGACAAGAGCAGAAACGATGGCCTTTTCTATTCTTATCATCATCTTATGCATGCAGACAGCGGGGAAATAACTCAGTTTGGGCCCATCAGCGCTTCCGAATGGTCGTTGACAAGATCGTCACCTCACGATCGTCCTCGTTCTCAACATGGGCGTCTCTTCTCAGACGATAACGAGGTCCGAGTCGCCATATGTCCTCAAGCTCAATTTATTCCGAGTGACGTCTTGCATGTATGTAGATAAATTTAGAACCTCTAAAGGACTAGCCAGCGCTTCATCTATAGGATTCTGAGCGAACTACCTTATCCCAGTCTAGGGACTCCATAACTGTATAGGATCTTCTGTAGCACAATCTACATCAATGAGTATTGTATGATACAGTCACATACAGCGTTCAATACTCGATAGAGAGTAATGGTTCCTTTCTTTCCCTAGTCCTTGCCACTACTGAACTGCTAGATAGCATCATCTCTGCCGTCCGGTCTCTGCTTAGGCGCCTGTTTAACTCAATAAAGTTGGCTGCAGGCGCAAATCCATCGCACTGCACTCCTCAATTGGATGGTTGTTATTGTTGCTATACTTGGATACCACCTCGGCATCCCCAAAACATTCAGCATAGATTATCCCATAGCGCGAGTATGTTGGCGTTGCGAGTTGCTATGCCTTGAACCGTCGTTCAATCTGTACTGTGTGCCTGTTTCTTAAGCGAGGATGGGCTTCTATTTCTGGATGAGCCTGCGCGTCCAAGCCATTCTCCATGCGCAAATTGAGCATGCCGCGAGACAGCCGAACCCAGAGCCTTGACACGAGTCCAACTCTAGTGGTTCGACAAGCGTTTCAACTGGTTGCCATTGCTATGGCCAGACGCAGAACACAGATAAAGAGCCCGCTGTGACCCGGGAGACAGAGCAGAAGTCAGATGGCATTCGACAAACACTATCCAAGACTGTCACCAAGAATTTCGCCCTTGGGGCGGCTGTATAAGCCGACGGTGGGGCTGAGAAAAAGACAAGAAGAAGGCAAATGGAAGAAAAGTGGGGAGAAGAGAAAAAAATTGGACGAAGAATAGAAGTGTGGGAGAATAGAAGAAGACTCGATTCCGAAAGGATCAAGTATGCAATGATCAAGTGAAATTAAAGAAAGAAAGAAGGGTATGTTAAAAGGGGTATGAGTAAAGCCAAAAATGAACCAACAGGAAATCACCAAACTCCGAGTGCCAAACGCCGTCGCCTTGAATGTGCAGATTTCCAACGTGCTTCAATGAAGTCGAGTTCCGAAGAGTTCATTTTGTGAATGGTCCGAGCCGTCCCATTCAGGAAGTATAGATGGACGAGTTTTCCTTTATGGGCCACTGCCTATATTAGCAAATAGTCCCATTTCTTGTGTTGCATCAACTTTCGCCAGTGGAGTCGTATCTGTTGGGGCGCAGACTCCGCACTCTCGTGTGTAGTCGAGTAAAGCCTGTCTTGAGCGCGAGCTGGATTACTCGAAGATGTGGCAATCGGATCATCCGACTGCTTCCAGAGTTCTTGTAGCACGCGGTACATTCGTCCAAGACTACCAAAGTCGCTCAAACGTCCCATAGCCGCGACCCTATCGGTCAGTATTTTTCGATATCCACTGTAGGGTGCTGAAGCTGCCCCTGCAATGAATAGTGGCCAAACAAGACAGCGATCGAATCCCGCAAGTCCTGCCGGGAGGCATTGCAGTATCTCTCCCACGGAAGCGACCAAAGTGATACTGGATGGAGCATAACAACCAAACTCAGGCATCAGACTGTATAGGTATAGGCGGGCAGCTATACGAAATAGGGCGGTAATTATCTTTGTCAGCTGCTCAGGATTGACTAACCCGGACATCAGGTAAGGCGTCTCCAGGGTGCGGTCAGCGGATTCAGTCCACTCCAGCTGAGCATCCAGCGCGGATACATGTTGAGATAGAGCTAAATCGTCGATTCTCCCTTCTAGCCTCAGCGATTCCAGACACGCAATCTCAGAAATCAGGTACATCACCCGGTCGTCACACCCCATCAACTGCTGCAGACCGGAAGAAGTACCACTGAGATGTTTGGTGCGGTAGGTATGAGCAAAGTGTGGTGTTTGGCCCATCATTGTGGCACCGAGAATATCAATCCAAGTGATGAGAGAGACATTGAACTGAGTGGGCGCGCAATTGGGCTTGTTAACAAGACTGGACACTGCTTTGAAATGGGCGCTCCATGGGATATCCGGGAGATAATCATGTGTTTCGCCAACAGAAGAATGGTAGAAGATCATCGCAAGCGTTGCATCCAAGACTTGCTCGTGACTAGGCCCACCGTTCAGTGTCCGGCAAAGCTGTGAGATTGCCTCGTAGCGATGGCGCATGATGTCATAGTCCATCTGATCCGTCAAACCCCTGCTGGTTTTGAGGTGAATTGCAGATGCGCTTAGGCAGCAATGAAGATACGATTTATTCGTCTGCAGTGAATGCATGATTTCTTGCAGACGCGCGGGGCCCTGCTGATGCACTTCAAGAATCGGGAATACCAAGGGCAGGACCTTGTCAACAAAATGGTTCAGAAGTGGCCGGTCGTGAGCGTCCAGGGGAATCATCGTCTGGAGTTCCGCTGACACTAGCTTCTGTTGATAGGGTAAACCTGTAGGACTTAGGATAGTGTACGGTTGCGTGTAGCCCAAAGTGTTCTGCGACCACTCCACCCCGGCGGAAGCTGGGGTCAGTGGCGATGTGATCTGAAATTGTGGTTGAGGAGCCATAGAATTCAAGGTTGCCAATGATGTACCATAAGGTAGGGGCACGTTGCTGAGTGCAATATCGTGATCAGTTCGAATATCGACATTGAACGGGGTCACTGGTGTCAAAAGAGGTGCCACGAATGGGTTGCAATTGTACTGATTGGCGAAAACAGGTCGGTTGAAGTCATATTCCTCCCCTGTAGCAGAAGGTTTCTGGGCCAATGCGCGAATGCGTTCCATATATTCTAATCGCGCATGTCATGTTGGTGTGTCCTAGAAGCTCAAATTGACTGTGCGAGACTTACCTTGCAATGATCCATGTTTCTCCATTGTCTTCGTCTGCCGAATTCGATCTTTGATTCTTTCCTTCTGCATCCTCCGCGTCTCGGCACTGACCCACCATTGGGGTGGTTTATAGTCGCACTTCAACCCCAGCTTCGTGCATGCTGTGCAAGCTGGACGCTCTTCATCACACTTCTTCCGTCGTAGTCGACAAGTATAGCAGCCTGTAGCCCAGTCATTAGCCCCATTTCGACAAATGGTACGCGGAGACAGAGATGGCTGATCTCGACCCATCATCGTCTCTCAAACAGGAGTACTCTATACCCGAGCGTGACCTCCTAAATGACTTGGCCTTGGAGTCGTCCACCGCATCCGAGGCATCAGGTATGCCCAGCGTGAGCCCATTACCGGAAGCGGAAACAAGCATGGTTGAAGGAACATAGGAGGACGACATCATGTTCGACATGCCTTGATTTCTGACAGGACGGCGGGCTGCATCAAACAAGTAGCAGTAATGGTAGACAATTGATCAATGACTTTATCCTCCTTGACCCAGAAGCAGTTGCACAGCTGCACAGGTAACCTTTGCTATTAGAGACGAAGCAAAGATGTCACGAAGAACGAAAGGTGAGGATGGTGCGACATGTCTGAGGCTTATATGAAGATCGTCCACATTGATTACTTTGGATAAGAAGAGATAGACAATGCATCTGCAGACAGGGAACTTGTTCTGATGCTTCTATTTTTTGCCATCCCAAGCGGTTGAGCACATGGGATCTTGTTTCAAAAAAAGATGAAGCACGATGCAAACCTCGAGTGGAGACTTGGAGTTCAGCGGCAAATCAGTGTCGACATGACGATCGTGAATAGACCGGAAGTATCTAAATTGGGAGACTTCGGTGCTGAATGGAATCATGGTGGAATGGCACAAGTGGTCTCTTGATACTCTCGAGTCGCCGAAGAGAGGTAGCCGAGTATGTCAATTAGACGCGCACCACTGCTGATGGCTGCAGGGATCCCCATTCGACGAATGAGCGACCACAGAAGAGTGCCTGTCAGGGTCTAGTGAGGTACTAGTCCACAAGGCCTAAGGAACGCACCAGTTCCTCCCTTGGCACGAACGCCGTCCCCACGAGCTCTGATAGGTGGTTTCGCAGCATTTCTCTGTCGCATGATACAATAGTACATAGCTTAATTTTTCTATGCAATCGATCCCCATGGTTTCATGATCTTCTACCGACTTCAGGCCTGTACTTCGATGGGAGGCCTTCGGATTCAGGACGGCACCCCCAGTCTTCATTTTCAGTAGACTTTGTCCCTCCAACAGGTCCTGAACTCTTCTCTCGAGTTGTAAGCTGCATCAGTAAGACCCTATCTCCAGTGCGAGCGGCAGTATCAGGCAAGCAATTGGATCTCTTTCATGAAGCGTCGTTACCATCAGGTTCCAATTGCCAACAGACATCGATGGTTGGAGACCGTTTCATGTCGTAATTGGCTCATGAGATTGAGAAAGCGGCAGATGAGACACGCCAAGCAGAATCTCTCAAAATATGATTCGGTAGAGGGACCCAACTACTGCACAGTTGAAACGGTTTGATAATGTTCTCGATCTTGAAATGGCGCAGCTTGCGGGAAACTTAGCGACCAACTGTGGGGCTCGCGCTGGGTGTGGAGAGAATGCACGGACTGTTTGTGATCTTCTCTGCCTTAGCTTCAAGTTCCCTTAATTAGCAACACTATCCCGCCAATAATTCTTCCTCAATTAGATGAATTATGTTGGTTTTTGTTCGCTTGGAATGATAATGATTGGATTATGGCATAGTATCTGAGATAATTATAGTAAATTGAGCTTTCTTTGTTGTTATTGCTATTAATATCATGCAGCAATAGCCCTAGGAAGTTGTCATAATTAGCAACATATCCCCAACAAACTCATGCATGCATATTGAAGCCATTATCTCTGAATGGCTTCCTCTCCGTTACAATCTAGGCCTGTTAACGATATTTTTACTCAGCACTATGAGGGAATTTTGTTAGGGAACTTTAGAATGGATAACTGTTACGAGTATCCCTGCGTCTCGGCGTCTACCGTGTGTGGAATCTGGATTGGAGCATCATGTATGATTGTGTGAAGCTACGTCAAATCTTCATGCAAACAAACTAGGATAGAGACTCAATGTCTCTTCTTATGAGGCTGCTATGTTACTCATGAGAGTGGTGAGTTCACACTTTCATTATAATGATAGCATTATTCATAGTACTTCTTATTGGGATAAGGTACTTCAGTCACTACCTATAATCGCCTCTTCGGTCACCATTATTGCTAATTGCTCAAGCCTGGAGCTGCTACCATAAATTCGTGAGCTTAGGTTCTGCTTCCACATTCGCCATTGTGTGGCCTTTACCCAAGGCCGATAGAGTATAATTTGCATTCTCCTGCACCTTGCACAATAGCTCTACATGGAAGAGGAAGCATACTGTGCTGACAGAGATAAGCCATAGTAACAAAGGGCTCTTTGATGAGATCCTGATAATTCATTAAGGGATATGAATGGAAGACTACAAAAGTTACCTCAATGCAGAGCGATAGTACGGACCTCGGAGAGCCCGGAAGACACCAAACTATACTAGGTACGATCAAAGTAATTAGCGCAAGGCACAAGTGTCCAAGTATGACTGCTCGAGGTGAATAAATGAGTAGTCGGTGTTACTTTCATGTAGAAGAGAAGATCAGAATTTACGCAATGGTATTGAACAACTGGAATCAGAGCTTGACGTCTTTTGAGGCACACATGTAGAAGACAAACCTTTCAAGTACATTATTATAGTGAGCAGAACAGGTCTTGAATAACGAATAGTATGTAGTACCGAGGATCTTCTGTCCATTCCGCCTTCGTCATAGGCAAACCGGACGATGTATCACTAGACTTTCTCGCAGCTTACTGGCTTCCCCACATGCTCAAAGGCTCGCCTGACTCGAACCAGAGTGGCTGGCAGACTAAAGTGCTTAATGTAGGTAGTGAGCACATTTGCCTGCATAATCACCTGACTGACATTAACCTGATTATGCTGGGTGATTATACTCGTAGCGTGTGATAGCCCGGTCTGGTTCCCTTCTCCATTTACAGTACGTGGATGTCGACGTGGATGGAGCTACAACTGGCCACTGGCTATATATCATCAATTCTCGGAACTTTAGCACAGAAAACGGTCCGAACAGAACCGAAATCCAGAAAAGCTCAAGTTCCAATAATAATGTGACAGCTCCGAGGAAACTTCCAAGGAATAGGATAAGGCAGTGTACTTTGCCTTGGTTTTTGGACGAGTCGGAGCAGACTGCGTTCCCTTTCGGACAACGCCAAACAACTCATGAGTCGGGGTCTGCTTGTTCTCTGCGAACTTTCACAACTGTCATGTTTGCATAAGTACGATGTGGATACTGACTTGGTTGATACTATGCAGGGGCGGCACACCGTCTGGAATTGTCCCCTTCGGACTGCCGAGCGACTACCAGGACATATACCAAGTCCTCTCAAGGTTAAGTAGAAAATATAGAAATCTGTTCTTGGAGAGTAGTCTCTCTCAAATTGAACCTCAAGTTTGGGCTCATCAGGAATGAATGGTGATTATATACCAGACAAGCTGGCGCCTCGTTGACAACAGAAGCGCCAGTATCTCCCTGAAGAAGGAATCCATCTCGCTTTCCCATCGCTTCCTGAGCACACTATTGGATACTCAACTATTCCGCTAGTCAATGGTGAAACTTGCAACTACCTGGGGTGGTGCATTGTGCTCGACGCATCTCAGCCTGTCAAACTGTGCTGGGAGAGTCGTCACAGCAGTAGCGCCATCGGCCGACCTCTCACAGCTCGTGGACACCCGCCCACCCCCTCAACTCATTCCTGCACGCGGTTCTCGGCTCACTCCAGCAACACTCGCTCTGCTCTTCCATTCGAGCCCTATTGCTGCAGCTCTGTCTTTTGGCTCGGAATCAGGACGCTTTGGTCGAGACATGATCGCCAACCACCGTTCTCATCACAGCGACGCTTCACCGCGGGCGTGCCGCTGGCTTAGTTTCCCGCCGATTTCTGCCCAGTCAGCCTCCCTCATTCGTGCAATCTCGCCAAGGGTGCATCGTTTCTGTACATCAGTGCTCTGAGAGCCTATAGGTCCCTTCCCTGGAAAATACTGCGTTTTTGAAGAGGGGCCATGTACATAAACTCTTTCAATCACCCGATCTGACCATTTCCCACCGACCCTTCGCCTACTGTACCTATATACCTTTTGCATGTACACAATCCAGCCTTAGTAGTAAAACCCAACCTGAGTGCTTTTCTCCATCATTTACAACCCATCACTGCCCTCGTACTTACAAGCTCTCTGCCCCCCGGGAGGGACTTGCAGAGAAATGGTAAGCTATTGCAGCTCACTCTAATGTCATATACTTCCTTCGTTGACAATACCGACAGGCAACCCAGTTAGCGTATGAGGAATACTTCTCGGGTTTACAGAAGGACGAGCAATTGCCTTTCTTTACTCCCAGGACTGCTATTCCACGACCACTCTCAGAGGCAACAGACATTCTTGACTCTGAAAATGATGACGATCTCTCGTTGCTAGAGGATTCGCCATTTACCAGTGTTGCTTCTGTAAGTTCAGGTGCAAGCTACCTTCGAAAAACCTGAATTGTTTCTAATAAGATTGCTGTAGTTCGGTGCAGGAAGTGTCTCTACAGCCTCCACACCGAATGAAGCCACTACTCCTGATTCGACCGGGTTGACTGCTTTCGATTTCCACATCGATGAGAAATCCATTAAGGGGCCTTCCGGACCTCATCTGTTCAGATCATCCTTGGACTCTTTAGACTACAATGAATGCACGGATGGCGAGTTGAGGTTGCAAGAGCGGCCACCGAGCGCAATGCTATCCTACTACCAGTCGGCATCGAAACTCGATCCTGTGAGAAAGGACACCCCGGTTCCCAATCGGATCTCGTCGACCCCACAGCCGCAAGTCGAGCAGCAGCGCAATTCATTTGTCAGGCAGGAACTGGCTCTGAATGAAGTTGAAGCGCGGAACTGGACGCCACGAGATGTGGTCAGATGGCTGCAATGCAATGGCTTCGACGATAGCATCATGGAAACGTTTTATGTCAACGACATCTCTGGTTCCATTCTTTTGGAGCTTCAAGCGCAGGATCTGAAAGAACTGGGCATCCAGTCCTTTGGCAAGCGCCATAGGCTCATGGGCTCTATCCAAAGCCTTCAAAGCAACCCAAGGTCCGTCGATCTCAGCGTCCGTCCTCGTCAGAATTCTGCACCAGCTACAGACGTTCCCCCAACTCCTGTGACGGCAATTACATTGAACAGCTCGGGCTATCATTCGACTTCCACCACCGACCAGGAGATGTCTGACAAGAGATCGAAC